ATACCCACTCAATGCATTATTTGAGTTCAAAATCCTCATTGCAAAATAAGATATTTACTTTGCGGAATATCTCTGAAACGATTCACTTTACCAGACATACGCATATTTCGTTCCTTTTCATCTCTTTCGAGGAATACTACCCCATCAGCCTCTAAAGGTTGTATATCTAATTCATACCTATCCCTTTATATTTCGTGTAAAAGCTAACGGACGAGTTGATGAGCTTATATTAATTAGTAGTATAAATCAATGCTTTTTGAAGTTATGTATTCCGGTGGTATAATTGCGTTAGAAAAAAAAAAGAAGGGAAAATAGAGGAAAAAAAAAAGAAAAAAAAAAAAATTACAAATATTAAAAACAACGTGTAAAATTGCAAATGACGTTAAACGTACTATCATAAATATCTATCAAAAGTATGAAACATCGACGTAATCATTTTTCCAACGGAACATGGATACGCACTTCGAAGCATCGAGTATAACCGTTAGAACGAGCGCCTACTAAATGTTACTAGCGTCTTCATAGTCGAGTAAATTAGTATGTCATGATGCACGGTATATATATATATATATATATATATATATATATATGCGTGGGTTTCTAAATACGATGCACGTAGATTTATACCTACGTAAATACGTGAATGATATAGTCACTAGTCAACTGTTGTAACTAACGACAAAATTCTAGGATTAAACTTGGGGATAATCGGAACTTCCTCCTCGAGTTTGGAATTTTCTTTTTTTTTCTTCTACTACTTCTTCTTCTTTTTTTTTTTTTGTTCTTTTTCTTCCCTCCCTTTTAGCGAAGAGAAATCTTTACTTTTTTTTTCTTCTGTTTTCTTTCTTTCTTTCTTTCTTTCTTTTTTTTTTTTTTTTTTTTACATCCAAAACGAGAGAAAAACGTTCCGATAAGAGCCAACGTAAGCGAGCTAATGACGGGCAGAGAAATATTTCATTAAGTCGAGTGGATTCTCGTCTGGCACTTGTGAAATGGGACGGATGATTTCGCAAAATGAATGAAAGACTGAGAGAAAAAGGAAGAGGAAGAGAGAGAGAGAGAGAGAGAGAGAGAGAGAGAGAGAGAGAGAGAGAGAGAGACAGAGAATGCTTTGCTATGCTCAGGTCGACAATGAGACGCTGTCTCGTCGGAAAACCTCGTAGGTTTTCGTCATTTTTCTCTTTTCCATCCCCTTCAATGGAACCACCCTCTCTGTCATGCTCACTCTTTCTCTCTTTCTTTATTTCACTATTTCTCCCTTTCTCGTACTCATGGCGGAAACGAGGGAGAAAATCGTACACGAGACCCTGTGTCCAGGAATATTTCGTAGGGAAACGAGCTCTTGAGAAAGGTACGAAAAAGTTTCGTGGTTTTCGTCACGATAGAAATAAAAACTGAAAGAACTTTTTTCGAAGCTCTTTAATCGTTTATCATAGTTATACCACGTTTGTTTGTTTTTTTTTTTTTTTTTTTTTTTCTTTTCTAATTCTCTCACCGTGACTCGCAATATCTCGTCGTAACGGGGAAATGAGGAAGAAAATAAGAAAGAAAAGAAAAGAAAAGAAAAAAAGAAAAATAACAAAGTTTGTGATATCGAAATATGTATATAAAGAAAAGAAAAAAGAACCTTCAAAATATTTCACTCGCGCCGAAATCACATACAGAGTTCCTTGCACGTAACTCCGAATTCACTTTTGCGTTTATATCCCTACCTACCTACCAATCTACCTATCTACCTATCTACCTACCTACCTGCCTACCAATCTACCTACCTATACCTACCTACCTAGCTACCTAGCTACCTACCTACCTACCTACCTCGTAAAAATTTAATTGGCTTCGCTGAAAATCGTCGACGCTCTGCTGCACCGCGTTTTTAAACTTCTCCCAGTGAACTAACTCGAGCTCAAGCAAAAAATTACGATCGAAAGATTTTCTCCCTCCTTTTTTTTCTTTTCTCTCCATTTTCTTTTTCTTTTTCTTTTCATCCCTTCCTCTCTCCTCTCTCTCTCTCTCTCTCTCTCTCTCTCTCTTTCTTTCTCTCTCTCTCTCTCTCTCTCTCTCTCTCTCTCTATCTCTCTCAACCTCATTCGAGAATGAATTTTTCTAAAGTCGTTCCTTCATAAGAAGCCATATAAAGTTGTGATATTGGCTCGATAACCACTGATAAACGTAATCCGGAGAAGAAGGTATAATGTGACGTTAAATTGTGATGGAAAGATGGTAGAGAGTAGATCGAAAAAGATATGGAGAGAGAGAGAGAGAGAGGAAGAGAGAGAGAGAGAGAGAGAGAGAGAGAGAGAGAGAGAGAGAGAGAGAGAGTTCGGATAGATGGCATCGTCCACGTCGAATTGAATTTTCTGCGGTGTACTCATAAGAGATGCGGTTTACGCATGCGTTATGCGTGTGTTACGCATCAAAAAACCGTCTCATGCCTATACTCGTACGAGTCGAAGAAAAGTGCATGTATGTGATTATTCTGTATGTGCGCGTGTGTCTGTGAAAGGGAGAGAGAAAGAAGAGAGAGAGAGAGAGAGAGAGAGAGAGAGAGAGAGAGAAAGAGAGGAAGAAAGAAAGAGAGAAAGAGAAGAGGGATCGGGTCAACAGCCTTCGACAACCTTACGGCCTTCCCTTCTTCGGCTCGATCGAGCTTCGATCAGCGTTGATCTTCTTTGGGGTTGTGAGATCGAAGTCTTCGTCTATTGACAGTTTCCATGCTACGTTATAATTTTAATTAAAATGATTAATATTGATCGAAGGTGTGGCCTTATATCCTAATCTTTTTTTTCGATCCCGTAATTATAAATAAATATTTTATTCATACTTTTAACGATGCATCATATCAAAGAGATATTATATATTATTCGTTTCTTATGACTGTGATGATTAGCTTTTGTTTTTATTTTATTTTGTTTTGTTTTGTTTTGTTTTGTTTTGTTTTGTTCTTTTTTCTTTTTTTTTTTTTTTTTTAACCACTAACACACTATGATAATAAATCGAATGAACGGAGATTATTCTAATATATAAAATTTGAACGTCATGGGTTACGATGAGATCGCGATATAATTAATATGTCTCTCGTTTGTTATGAAATAATTTAAATAAGAAAAAAAAAAAACAAAAAAAAAAGAAAAGGAAAAAAAAGAAGAAAGAAGAACTTGTGTTCGTCGACGATCTCGTGTTTGGTAAAGAAATTGGTTCTGGGGTAAATTGATCATGTAGATCGAAACGACAGTTCGAAGGGCACGTTCACGTGTCTAAATATTACCTACGCGTTTTTACTAATTCTCCATAATTACTCGAGGAACTTTTAGTATAACGAGGGGCGGTAAACACGGTTAATCTCTTTAATACGGGCTACGGGAAAGACCCTTTAATATCGTATCACGGATCGATGTTACACGAGGAATAAATAACAATATGTATTTGCCTCGTTATTATACTATAGTCAACGATTCTCGTATGAAAATATATACACACATACATCATGCACACACACACACACACACCATGCATACATTATATATATATGAGTTTTAACGAAGGAGATATCTTGCGGTTTCTAGCAACATTCCGCCATTGTTTCCGAAAGGGCCAGTCATAATGAAATTAGAATCGTGAGTGTTTATCACTATTCCTTGCAACCGAGAAAATGCGATGTGTGTACGGCTTAATTGCTAATAACATTCTCTTTATATATATTGTCAGTACAATCCCATTGATTCAAGAATTTGTTGTTTTATTATTATTATTATTATTATTATTATTATTATTATTATTATTATTATTATTATTATTATTATTATTATTATTATTATTATTATTATTATTATTATTATTATTATTATTATTATTATTATTATTATTATTATTATTGAGTAAACATATATAATATCGGTCTATGAAAATGAAACAATATATAAGATATCGTTGCGTTCAATTTATATTTACCTTATTCCTTTTTATTTAACGAAACGTAAATAATATATTTCTCAATGATGACGTAACGTTCTCTTATAACACGGCATTATTAGTGATCCGTCAGCATTAGAATCAAAAAGAAGGGAAATAAAAATCCATTGGGCTTAACCACTACTTTCTCTCTTTCTTTCTCTCTCTCTCTCTCTCTCTCTCTTTTTCTTTGTTACGTATATATATCTTTCCTTCTTTATGACTCGAAAAGGCACGCAAGAACCATTTTCTAGGATCTCCCTCTTTCAGGAGGGCGAATATTCGTAGCGGTATTGTTCGTGGCACTCGAAAAAGGCCCTCCCTACTGACTTGCCTCTAATCGCGAGAGATTTTCGTAAATCGATGGGGCAACCGAAAACTGGCATGGTTTATGGCTAATTTGAGGAGTGGCTTCTCGATGATGGGCTACATCTGTCGGATGTATAGATTCGAATTGATCGCCCGTGAAGCAGAAAGAGAAAGAGAAACAAAGAGAGAGAGAGAGAGAGAGAGAGAGAGAGAGAGAGAGAGAGAGAGAGAAATGGCGGATAAGGTAGCGGATGGGGGGTAAAAGGGAGCCACTAAAAGTTACGAAGCGAACAATACGTATTTATACGATTGCGCGAACACGTTCCCTTTGTTTTCGTTAGATTCGAAACTATATCGAATTACAGAAGGGATAAAGGGGTGTAAGTGACGGGAGGGAGAGGTTGTGTGTTATATAGGACGGAGAATGGTCGAAGCGATAAATTACATTTCAGTTAGATTCCATTCGGAGAGGGGGGAGGGAGGAGGGGAGGGGAGATATTTTGCGTCACGAACAAAATCGCTCGCGTGTTATTCGTAAATCCTAAATTTCGAGGGAAATAAAAATCGATTATTAAATGTAACATATACGATAAGATGCGAAGATAAATCATTTGATGATTATCAATCTTTCTCTTATTTGTGATTTTTATATATAAATAAGTACTTGCATATTTCGCGTACTTTTACGAAGAACATTGAGAGGTATTAAAATGTTCCCTTTTGTTTCTTATCTGTCGTAGCTTTGGAAAGCGGACGGGCAGCAGTGCCAGGAGACCCAACGAATGTTTCGTCTTGGAGCCCTCCGAGATGATCGTCGTAAGTATATATTCTTTGTGTTTTCTCATCGCGCTTCAAAAAATGAAGATTACAATTTTCTGCTACCATGGAAAATGGAAAAAAGATATAGAGATAGATAGATAGATAGATAGATAGAGAGAGAGAGAGAAAGAGAGAGAGAGAGAGAGAGAGAGAGAGAGAGAGAGAGATGGAAAGAAGTGCGTATTATCTGGTCGCGAGCCAGGATATTATTTTTAAAAGTTACGAAAAGGAAATGTCTTCTGAAAATAATTCGAAATCGATTCATTTCTTTTTACATCGTTAGAAATAAAATATTATCAATTATATAGATATGTATATAAGTATACATAGATATCTATATAAAAAGAATGTCGAATGTATTTTATATACTTCACATACAAACTGTTCGTATCGATATGAAAGAATTTTTTTATCTTTTTTTTTTCTTTTGCTCTTTTTTATTTTTTTTTTGTTTTTATTCATTTGTCTCTCTCTCTCTCTCTCTCTCTTTCTCTCTTTCTCTCTCTCTCTTTCTACGTCTGCCTTTACTTTTTAGATCGCATCGGGTAATATCTAAAAATATGAATGCACAGGTGTTTCCCTGTGAAACTTAGAAACGATGCATTCACGAGGAACACGAGTGACGATATCGCATATCGAAAGACAATGTCGGCCAGACTCGAGATGTTACGCGGTAGAGACAGTTAATCGATAGTTTGTCTCCTGTTGTTCTCGCTGTGAGCTTTTCAAACTGTGTACCCATCTCAACTCTTTCTACGGTACCATTAAAAGGAATCACTATTTAAATAAAGCTTGGCAGAATTCGCATGCGATATCGTGTATAAGTTCTTATGTACAATTTCATAATGACATCAATTTTTTTTATCTATTACAAACGTTAAAGTTTCTCGAGTTTCTTTCCTTCCAATTGTTTCTTTTCCTTTTCTTTTTTCTTTATCTTTTGTTTATTTATTTATTTTTTCTTTTTTTTTTTTTTAATTTTTCTATTCGCGCAAACAATTTCATTGATTGCGTCAATATATGTCTCCGAATGTAAATAAAACATATTTCGTTTCATCGTACTTCAATCTCTCGCGTGAAATTCAGCAATTTTGATAAAGATAGAAAAGAGATGAACGAGGGAAAGTGCACAGTATCGTGAAAGTTTAATTACGATTTTGAATTTCACGGAATATCTTTAAACGTTTATGATGCCTCGTCGTCGTTGTTTAATCGAATTCGAAATTTAATGGGAATTATCGTGGAAATAATTTTTTATCACTGGTCTCTAATCGCTTTAATTTTCTCTATAATCTTGAATCATCGAATGAACATACTACTCCCTATATCGTGCTGCCACCTTCGAAAAGAAGAAAACTGTATTATCGACGGCCCGAAGAAAGCTCTTACGTTAGTGTGTCGGGCGGACGATTAAATTTATTAATCCATTTCAGTTTATCGAAAATTAACAATGACGATCGAGACCTTAACTGAGCTTTAATGCAGAAGGGCGATAATTAATTACACGTTGAATACAATTTTCTAGATTCACGATAGATCCCGTTTCGTTACGCGTACGATCATTTAATAATAATTTTCAAACAAATTCATCGTCACAATGATCATCATTTGTCGATTAATAGATAAATAAACACGTTACACGTCATAATTTTGTTTTGTAAATAATATCGTATTATTCATTTTAATATAATACAATTTAATTGTGACGCGGACAGGATAAGTCTGTACAAATACGCTTCGATACAAAATGAATTGTTTTAACAAGATATAAATTAATGTCCATTACGTTTATTTATACGATATATATATATATACACTCACACACATGCATACGCAGGTGTATATAAAAATATGCATTTATTTGTAAAATATATACTGCATATGCATAAACGTAGATATGCAATGTGTACAGATGCGTAAGGCGCCTCTCACATCATAGAAAATGAATCATATAACTTCATATCCTGGTTCCGGCGAGATCCGTGTTATCGGGTGACAACCCACGATTGATAAGACGTTCCAAACTAATCAATAAAAATGACCGACTGAATGAGTCAGCAAGTCGATCTTCTGGTTATGCATGCATTTCCTTTTTTTTTTTTTTTCTCTTTTTTTTTTTGCGATAGCGAAGGCGCCAAAGACGAAGTTGTTGTATTCCGATAGTGAACTATGAGCTTGGAAAATGATCGAGAAGAATGAGAAATAGATCTAAGAGAGGATCGGAAGTCCTTCTCTTTGGTATCGTTTGTACTCCCGCGTATTACGTAATTCCTATGTTACTTGTATTATCCCTATGTACATACATATATACATACATACATATATATATATATACACATATATGTATATATATATATAGATAAGTAGTAAGTGACTTCTTATGTCTTCGTTTTTTATTCCTCTTATCTCCCCTTACGTTTCTCGTCTGTCTCTTATTAGTTTCGATAAGTTATTTATTAAAAAAAATCTGTTTATTTTTTGACGGCCATCAGGTATCGCTCAACAAAAATTCCTCTTCGTTTCTTTAGCTTTGAATAGATTTATCATGCCGAGGAAAAAGAGCGAATCAACTTACACGAATACATTGTACTGTTATTATCCTATATGTATAAAAGAATAATAACACATAGTATATATGAGAGAATATCTGTATATATATGTATATATAAAAAGAAAATGTTTATATAAATTCACGTTCTAAAAACAACAAAGCAATCCGGTGGTCGCTCGTTTATATTTAAAGCGACGGGACATGTAGCGATCAAGGCTATCTTTGCAACGGCCAAATATTCATTCTTTCGAGTTTATTTACATCGAATTATACTGAGAGGAATAAAAGCGGATGATCTATACGGATTAAATACGTATATTTGATACGAAAATGTCTCTGTTATTTGTCTTTGAAATAAAATATATAAATATATATATATATATATTTATAATAAATATGTATGCATTGTATATAAAGATCGAATATTAATTGTGACGAAAGAGAGATAAAGAATGTAGAAAAAGAGAGACAGAGAGAGAGAGAGAGAGAGAGAGAGAGAGAGAAACAGGACACAGTTTGTCACAGGTTACTATATCCCACCGAAGGTTCATACATGCCCTCCGGCAGCTTTGTGACCTGCTATGAATTTAACGTGTGACCTTTAACCTTACTATCTCTCTCTCTCTCTCTCTCTCTTCTTGAATCACCTCTGCCATGGGTTTATTCCAACTTAAGCTTCAAATTGGAATAAATCATTTCCGTAGTCGCGTCGGACCAAACCCGGATATCATGTCTTACACCAAAAGCTATATCGCTCCAGGAATTGAATTTATGACACGTTCGTTTAGTTTGCCCAGAAGAGGCGAAAATGTATGGAGAACAAAAGAAGAAGAAAAGGCAAAAAAAAAAAAAAAAAAAAAAGAATAAAAAAGAAAAAGAAGGAACGACGAAGGATTCGAGAGATCGATGCAAATTGTTAAAATCAAGGTGTACCTTCGATTTCGTATTTTCAAGTCTCATCGTTTCGTATTGATATACGAACAGACGTGTTACGTAAGAACGAGAAGTCATCGTCGAATAATCTTTATTTCGATCGTATACAAAGTGAGAATCGAATTTTATATGAACCAGCATATATATATATATATTTATATGTATGTATGTATACGTGGGTGTGTATGCGTGTGTACGAACGTGCGTGTGCCTTTAGTATTCGATCTGAGTTTAATGAGCGAATCGTATTGTTTGCCTTTTCATTTTATCGGGACTTTAGCTTCCTCGCGATTAAGGTCGAGATAGTAAAACAGTTTTGTTGACGTTGACACTCGATCTGAATGGACCGTTATCGTTATGAGAGTATGTTTCTCACGAGTATAATTATTTTGGCTCGAGGATCTGAAGTCCAGGAATCAGTAGTTTTCAGTAGTTCATATACAAGAGGGATGAGGGTGGAGGGAAATTAATAAATAGGTATAATTTATAATCAAATTATATCGTTATCATCGTCGAAATCTTGTTCTTGTTTTGAACGTCTTGCGGACGTTCCTTTTGTTTAGATCTCCTTGAAAAAAGAAAAAAAGAGAAAAAAGAAAAAGAAAAAGAAAAGAAAAGAAAAAAGGCAGAAATACTAGAGCATCAAGTGACGCTCACAGGATGCGGGCATGTATATATATATTATATATATATATAATTGTATAACCGTTCTATTCGCGTTCCGTCTATCCTTCTATGCAACGTTATGTATTTCCTTACGTGAAGTTTATATATGTGAGAAACTTATCGGACCCCAACAAAACGGACACCAGAGGCGTCTCGGCATACGTCATCGTCTGGCCAGCCTCGGAACCGATGACGTTTATCGAGCATGCATCATCGTCTACTTTCCGCTTGGATGGCCCCCTTCAAGATGATGATATACTTCATTTTCTTTTGTTTACAAACGTTCTCGTGATCTTTCTTGACGCATTTATATATATATATATAAATATGTATAAATTCATCTTCGTTGAAAATTGTGTTTGTCTTTTTAACAATAAGATCGTTTCTCTCGTGTGTCTCTTTAATTTGACCTCCGTTTCGTTCAACCTGATTACCCCCGGCTTCTTCTTTACCTTATCGTTTCATCGGATCACCTTCGTTAATAGAGAAGGATAGTTTATTCTAGCGAAAAATGTAACAAACGAGAGACACGAATATATTCCTGAAAACAGTTTTGAAAAGTGGAACGTATATGCGCTTTTATCGTATCTAAACTTGAAACGGGAATAGAATTTCTCTTTTGAGGTGTTAAAGTTAAAGAGTTTCTCGGTTCGTCGTTCTTTTTCTATATGTGACATAAGTTTGACAATTTTGTCAATATTCCGATCCATGAATTTTATAATATCGTTTAATTAAATCATTATAATCTAAAATCATTATTATGAAATGTTAAAACTGATTTGATTATTATTATTAATCTTGTACGTACGATTGTGAAATTTTGTGCGACTTTACGAAGGATAAACGT